ACAGCTGCAGACGGACAACTTAGCTGACGAGCTCCGACGATGTGAGGACGTGGTGGAGGAAGAGATTCTTGGGCCGTCCAAACTCATCACTTCCTCTGAGACGGTCACAGTCAATTTACGAATCGGCTTCATTGACTTCAGCGGGCTTCACGACAAACGCAGTTGAACAACCTCATCCCTCTCATCCAACCGAGAAAGTTGATCCTAGTGGGTGGCAGTCAAGAGGAAACGACGACTCTGGCCGCAGACTGCAAGAAGTTGCTTGCCGCGCGCATCGGTGCGTCCGATGAGAGCGCGGTTGATGTTTTTACGCCAGAAGTTGGCACGACTGTGGACGCCAGCGTTGATACCAATGCATGGGTTGTGAAGCTCGGCGATAGCCTTGTTAAGAAGCTCAAGTGGCAGAATCTGCGAGGCCTAGGCATTGTCACGATCACAGGTCAGCTGCTTGGCGAGAGTCATGCCATCTCTGAGTCCACGGGTTCCAACAAGAGGCTCAAGACGGCGAGCAACGATGACAGTGCGGCTTTCAAAGGTGAAGAAGGAGGTGAGGATTCCGACAACAGAGCAGTCGAGGTAGTACCTGTTCTCGATACACTACCTTTGAGCATGGTGTCGGCGGTGCGGTCGGTCGCACAGCCACTCCATGTCGGCGACCTGCGGCTTACGGACTTGCGGCGGGCAATGCAATCGACCGGCTACACGGCCGAGTTCCGGGGCGAGGGCACGCTTGTCATCAATGGGGCTGTGGCAGTGCGCAAGACGAATATGGGCAGGATAGAAGTGGAGAGCGTTGGTGTGGCAGATCCGTCCGCTATGATGCAGCAAAGGAGCACGTTCTACGAGGTGAAGCGGATGATTTACGATGGGCTCGCCGTCGTCGCAGGAGCTTAAAGCTACAATTCCTGCATCACGGCTGCATTGCCGCCCCTGGGAATGATGCGTGGAAACATGCATGAGAACATGTTGAACTTGTTTGTACCCTTAGACTATGTAAACTTAGCAACATGGGCAGGAGGCAAAGCCTGTGCTACTCGACAACCCCATGGCTGTAAATTGGAATATTCACTATGCGTCTCCCAGCTGCAGCACACCGCAACCAAACAGCACATTAACAGGAGCTGTCTGCGAGCTAGCCACGACGTGGTGGGTGAATCGAATATGGCATGAAGATCTCGAGGATCTTGTCTTGCCCCAGCACATACACCGGTCAGCTCCAAATGGGCCGAAATGTACATGACGCAATTGGTTACGGTTCCCACAGGAGGGACGTGTTTTGCGGTCGGTGAGAGTCTTTGATAGGGAGAGCCGGCTGCCTCCCGATAGGCGATTCGAGATTTGTGTTGCTTACAGTTTAGTCGTAGGGAACAGCTACAGGCAGGCACAGACAAGAAGCTCGGCAGGTCAAGCGGGAACAGGCATTAGCCATACCCTGGGGCTCCTCGTGAATAATGGGGCTCTATTCATGGCCTCACCCACCTTCATGCCTATCTAGGTACTTCCCAGAGCTTCCAGACGTGCCAGGTTCTCCTGACGGGGGCCGGAGTCCTGTTAGCCCCCGGCTTTGTCAGAGTTCCCCTCTTGGCGCAAATGTCGATTGGCCTTCGGGCGAAGCCGTCTGGGTCCATTCCAATCTCGTCAGGATTGGTGACGACTCCTCACATGGGATTTGTCGGTGTTCAAGACCCTCTCGCGAATAACGGTAGCAGCAATTATCCAACGTCGTGAGAGAAGAGGAGAGAGCGGGGAGGCGGGAGGGGAAACGACAACAAGGCGCAGACCTCTGGACGGACAGCGTAATGGATCCCAAGGCAACATGCCATTGACGAGACCTTTCAGGTTGGGAGACATGGATGACAACGATTGTCGCAGAAACCCAGCGGTCTGGGAAGACGAAAGAGGCTATGTGAGGGGCGTCGTCGCCATTGCACGAGAGCGCTGTAGGCCCTTATTGGCTCATCTTGACCAGGAAAGCTTCCGTGCACCTCGCAGCCCAGATTCGGCCTGTACAGCTTACCTAGGTCAGTCACAACTCCGGGTGCGCCTTCAGCCTTGAAATGAGGTACCCGAGGCACGCTGTACAATGAAGGAGGTGCAGTGCCTGGCATTCAATGAGTGGACCAGGGAGCCGGCATGAGAAGATACGGCGATGCTCAGTTGGGTGCGCCATCGACGCGCCGTAATTTGAATTTACGGTGGGGAATCCGAGGCCTTTCCGCCGTACCATCGCTCTCGCTCTTGCCCACTGTCCACTGTTTTCCCGTTCGCCCAGCTTTTTGGCCCCTCCACTGGCTCAGGGCCGCACGTTGATTGGACGGACCCACTGATCCGTCCTGCCTGGCCCAGTTGAGAAGCGCAAGACGGGCGGCCACCAGTGCAGCCACTGCCCAACGACCACGACTGTTCTCTTTCCCTCCAATGTCAATCCTACCTACTGACCCAGACCGAAGCAAAGCAAACGCATTTCAATCTGTTCGCCATATCATACCCCCTCCTCTGCCCTAACTTGTTGCTGTACTGTATGTACATTGTTGACCTGTACCTCTGGGTCAGATCACCACTGGGCATTTTCCTTTGTATGATTGCTGGCCGCCGTGACCGACAACAACTCGCTCTCGGTTGCAGGCGGTTCCGACCATTTCCTACTGCTCAAACCGGCCCACGCATTTGCTTGTGAGCAAACACCCATTGAGGAACGGCACGACGAGCTCGCGACTTGACGACGAGAAGCCATTATACATCACTACTTGTTCTTCGCGGATCTTCCCCTCTCGCCGCTTTTCCACCCCCTTTCTTCCAGGCCGCCGTGCTGTCGTGTCGGGACTGCCATCAGATAGGTACCCAGCACCAGACAGCCGACGACCCTTTCGGCCCACGCTACCAACTTTGCGAACATCTCAGTCACGATATCGTCTTGCTAAAGGTGTATAAAAATCTGTACGACCATGCCCACATTCTTGACGCACGAGAAAGCACCAGTCTATTCGTCCGATACCGACTTCCTAGACCTTGATCCGAGCAACACGCTTAGACTGGCGGCCAAGAGCAACACGGCGACCACGACACGAATGGCCACACCCATCCTCTAGTCCTCGGCAAACACAACTCTCCTCTACAACCGGATGACAGTTTTGACGAAAGCTCCTTTTCATCCGTTCCCGCTTCCGATTCCTCCGACTCTTGCCCTGCACAGGTGAATGGCACCAGACCTACCAGTATGAGCTCGTTGCCTCACGGCAGATCGGTCAACGGTGGAGGATATGAGGACAATGGCGATCATTACACAAACCACGATACGCAGCAGAGGGGAAATGGCGCTCCGTTCCCCATTCAAAATGGCAGCGTCGTCAAGATGCCCGATAGAACAGCGCCTCCCCCTCCAACCAAAAATGGCAACGTACAACCTTTGTCCGGTGCTAGTTTGACACAAGCCCCCTCCGAGACGACATTTACTCACCACGACCAAAGCACTGCACCGACCACCCCGGCCCGCAACACGACTTCTGCCTCGGCGATCCTGGAGTCTCGCAACGCCCATTCACCGCACCGCTTCTCGTCTCCTCCCATCTACGAAGCAAATGGCGCCGATGCCTCTTCGTCTTTGCAGGTACCCCCCAACACTGGTCTGAAGCAAAGACACACCCTTGAAGTGCCTAAGGTGCAACCAGGCAGGAGCTCCAAAGACGGACACGACACGGCTTTTGCAAGCGGTCGGTTCTCCCCGACGGCGGCGACGGCAGGAGTTCGTAGGGCATCACTCAGTCTAGGACGCAGGAACACAAGGTCACTGCAGTCCGATGCGCCACGCGATGACGTAGTGCCCGACGAGGATGCCCTTCGCTGGGCAGAAGCCTACCGCCAGAAAAGGGCAAGCAAGAGAAAGAAGAAGGAAGAGGAAGACGATGATCGTGTGCTTGTTGGTACCAAAGTCGACGAGCATCATGCCAACTGGGTTACGGCATACAACATGCTTACAGGCATCCGTGTCTCGTGTCGCGTACGAACGCCAAGCTTGACAGACCACCCACAGATGCCGACTTCGTTGCCAAACAAAAGTCCACCTTTGACATGTAGGTCGTCAACACGCCCTTTGCTACGATACGAGAGGCTAACCTATTCAGTGCTGGCAATGAACTTGTCCCGTCGGCCAAGTACGACTTCAAGTTTAAGGACTACGCCCCATGGGTCTTCCGTCGGCTGCGCTCACTTTTCCGACTTGACCCTGCAGACTACCTCATGTCTCTCACAGGAAAGTACATACTCTCTGAGCTCGGTTCTCCGGGCAAGAGCGGAAGCTTTTTCTACTTCTCCAGGGACTACAAGTACATCATTAAGACCATCCATCATGCCGAACACAAATTTCTTCGCAAAATTCTCAAAGATTATTACCAGCATGTCAGCGACAACCCCAACACCTTGCTGTCTCAATTTTATGGTCTTCACCGTGTCAAGATGCCCTATGGCAAGAAGATTCATTTTGTTGTCATGAACAATCTTTTCCCGCCGCACCGGGATATTCACTCCACTTTCGATCTCAAAGGCTCGACTATTGGTCGCGATTATCGCGAGGAGGACCTGGACAAGAACCCAAGGGCCACAATGAAGGATCTCAACTGGTTGAGGCGGCAACGCTCTCTTGAGCTAGGTATCCAGAAGAAGCGCCTTTTCCCTGAACAAGCTCAACCGAGCCTTCGCACTCATGAAGGAAACCTGAAGGATAAATGGCCTCCCCCCCTCCTTATTGGGATCCACGACGTATCCCAGGGGGGAACGGAGGAGGAACCTTCCGGGGCAAGACTCTACAGGTGTTCAACCCCGGGGGCGACGCCACACAGGACGATGCTGAGCCTCAGTCGGTGCTTCGAGATCGCCATCAAAGTTGGAGAACGCACGCAAGGCCAAGGAACTGAGGCAGATGATCCGTCAAGAACGGCCCGTGCCCATGGGCGCATCCAACAAGATGCCGGACGAGCTAGACGAAGCGCACAACAGAGCGGGCTTCATTTTCAACCAAGACGACGGCGGCCTTCGAGCCACACACGAAGACAACTCTCCAGCTGACGAAATCTACTATCTGGGAGTGATCGACTGCCTGACTCACGTAAGCTTAACCAGCACTCTCGTGGCATATTGACTTTTGCTAACGCATGTAGTACGGAATGATCAAAAAGATTGAACACTTCTGGAAGGGCTTAACAAATGATAGAAATCAAATCTCTGCCACCCCTCCCAGTCAATACGGAGATCGTTTCTACCATTTTGTGGAGGGCATCACTATGTCACCAGAGCAAGCTGCCCGCGAGAAGCAACAAAAGCAAGAAGAAGAGGCAGCGGCTGCTGTTGTGAGCGATAACCAGAATCAACGTGTCTCCAGCTGGAGAAGCTCAAACTCCCGGCGACGATCCAACTCGGCGTCAGCGCCTCCCATGCCCTCCCATCAACCGCCGCCAGCCCCTCTGCCAAGTGGACAAATGTCTCCCGAGGCGCAGGAGGTTATCGAAAAGGCTGAGCTCGTGGCACAGAGGTCAGCGGAGCGTGGTGCGTCGGAAGAGTCTGTTCCAGACAAGGTTATGACGACGACACCAGCACCCGACAGACGGGAATCCGGACAGACGCAGCCAGTCCTGCCTGTTGTCGAGGAAGCTGCTGAATCACACTCGATTGGAGGACGCAGCCGCGATGGGGACGACGAACATAGGGCCTGCAACGCCGGCAAAGCCTGATTTCTTGAACAAGTTGCCGGGGTTCAGGAATTACGCTCCTCCCACGCCACCAAAGACTGGCCTGAAGCCTGAGAGTCAGGACAGCGGATACGGTGCCATGACGCAGTCGAGAAGCAATGACTCCAAGTCCTTCAGCCAAGATGAGTCGTTCGGGCTCCAACCAAGGCTAAGCAAAGACTCTTTGAACAAGGATCTGCCACCTCTGCCTGGCGAGACTGTGCCCGAAACCAGAGCTCAACTTGGCCTTGCATAGCGAGCGAAGCATGACAAGTATTCTGTGCGAGCCAGGGCAGTGAAAGGCATCCCACTGGTGCCGACAGCTTGAGCCTTCTGTTGCATTCCCCATCATTGCAGGCAAGTCAGCTGTTGCTGTCATCGACATGCGCCAACATGGCGTCCTTGCTGGGGGCGACCAAGCGAAAGTTCTTCATCTACCATTTTCTTATTGTTCCTTTTGTCTCCGTACTGCGCATGGATGATACCACCGCTGCACCAACCTTTCCTTGTTTTTTCTAATGTAACAACTGTAATGCCCATGGCGAACTGAGCACGACATGGTTTCAGGGGTGGCAGAGCAGGAGCGATTAGTGAGCTACAGAGCGCACAGCATAGGCCAAATTGGCAGGTTAGTCAAGGAGTCGGGATAGCAGGTGGGATTTTCCATATTTCTAAATAGATGACTTGACTCATTCGTCTTCATTCCTGTTGAGGAAGCCCAGCCCTGGTGATGTCCATTGTTAATACGGTGTCCCTCATCACTTCTATTTTGAGTCGTTCCATCGAAGACGGCGCCACGTGTCCGCCCTTAACTTACAAGTCACATATAGGTAACATTAAAATACATTGTACAGCCGAACGTGTAGTGGAGATGTGTCTCGAGCCCGCCCAAAGGGGAGAGGGTTTGTTGCGTCCAGCGATCCATACATCGAATCGATCTATGACACGGAGGTCATTTTTTTGTTTTCTTCTTACTTCTTTCGAGAAGACAGCATGTCCTGTATATCCTCCCTGCTTGTCCCCTTCGGCACGCCGGTAGTGCCAGCGGAGGTGTTTTCGGTAAAGGACGTGGTGACATCCATCTTGACGGCGCCCTCGGCTTCGAGCTGGGCTATCCTTGCCTTCTTCTGGATGTCTGCCACCCGCCACTGCTTAAAGTATTTCACCTGCATCCTCGGGTCAGCATACACTTCCACACAAAGCAAGAGCGTACACAGGGGTGCCGGCAGGCGGGCCTAACACCAGGCGGCTCCACGTACCCACGCGGTGGCGCAGTCGCGCTCAAACAGCTCGTTTTCGGCCGGGCAGGCCTTGCGCGCGGCTTTGTCTTCCTTGACGGCGTCGATAATGTTGGAGCGGTCAAGGCAGGCAAAGTAACTGTCGCGGGCCTCCCAGCACTTCTTGCGCTCGCTGCGGTCGGGGGCTACGGCGCCGGTGCGGACCTCTTCGGCGCGCTTGTCGTCGGCACTCGTAGACCAGGAGAAGAGAGCCATGATGGACGGTAATCAAATGGGGGAATTATTGATGTTGTTTGTCGGCAGTTTATCAGCTTATGAATGTGAATGACACAGACAAGAGCAGTCGTCGTGAGAGTGGCGTGAGAGTCGGTCAATGTTCCGGGAGTGGTGTTCGCCTCTGGACTTGGAAGACCATGGTGGGGACATCTGTATGTCCAAAGCTCGACCAAATTTTGGAAGGTTCGGGGGGCAGGACTCGGGCGGTGAGCTCATCGGGCCTAGCGTTCCCGAGAATCTGGGGTGGCGCCCTTGAACGCCAACGTTCCAGCTGTCCATTTGCCGTCCTTGAGCGAAGGTCCGCAGCGCTAGACTTTGTGCCAATGACCCTGCGCCCAGCACCGTCAATCCTCGACCAACATCACATACAGCTCGATTCCAAGAAACGCACACGGCAAGCGTGTTCTCGGAGCACACAACTTGCTGGAATATCTCTCGCCCATGCTCCTGCCGTAAAGACTCAAGCGGCAGCCTCGACGACCATAGGCTTCAGCCGACTCGCCCCCCCCCCCCAAGACCCCCTGACTGCCTGTCGCAACACATCCCTCCTCAGCAAAGCGCCATGCCGCGCAGGAGGAGGCCACCGCGCGCTGGCGCCATGGCCGAGCTGCCGCCCTTGAGGATCGCCACTCAGATTGCGACCCTGCAGGCCCTTTACTACGTCGGCGCCATCATTCTCATGCTCTTCACGGCCCTCGGCGCCGGCATCTCGTTTACTCTTGATGTCGTCTTCGGCTGGGATGCCGTCAGGGGAGACACGACACAAGGCTGGCTCTGTGGATTCGTCTTGGTCCTTGATGGCGGGTTTTGCATGTACGTTCTCTTGACACTTGCCTCTGCTAGTACCCTCCGGCTTCTTCCCCCCCCCCCCTTCCTTCAGTTTCCCTCGGAGTCTACCTCTGGAGATACCCCAATGGCTGACACTGCGCGCGCGCACACACAGGGCGATAGCCATTATCCTTCTCGTTTCCCGCTCGAAGCTCGTGCCCGACTTTGCTGTTACCATCCACGCCCTTCATCTCGTCATTACAACGCTGTACACAGGTCGCGTGCCCCGCAACGCCATGTGGTGGGCCTGCATGATGGCATCGACAGGATTATGCGCCGCGCTCGGCGTCTGGGGCTCAAGATATCGTGAGCTGCGCCCCATATACTTTGGCGGCAGTGGTGGTGGCGGTGGTAATGGAACTGGTGGCAGATCTGGGTCAGGCGATGATGTGCAGTTAAACGGGGGGGGCCAGTAGAGGGCGATGAGGAGCAAGGGTTCTCGAGGGGAAGGGGGCGAGGTAGGGGAAGAGACGGAACAGGAGAATATGAAATGGTAGGCATCAAGACGGCTGATTAGAATAGACACACTTTTGCAGTAGACAAGTCACTTTGTTGTAATGAGATATTGGTCAAGGTCAGGTACCGACAACTTGGTCTATCGGTTGCAGTGGTTTTACTTTCTTTCTCCTCTTAAAAATACCTCTAGCAAAAAATACCATATGAATACCGATCGGTGTCTGTCGTAGGAGCTGATCAAAGGTATGTGTATGGTTTATCAGTGATGCATTACCCTCACACCTCGCAAGGCTTGCATCAAATTGGGCCCAGGTGGTCAGCAGGGATCGCCGACTAAGTAGACTATGAGGAACCACCAGCATCATTAGACCCATCCTTGGGTCTCGTCTGTCTGTGTCCTACTTTTTTGATCAGAACTGTTCCGGATGTGTTGCGCCTCTCTATTACTTCGCCATCGAGAGGATGATCGGCTGCAGGCAAACAAACGCTTCGTTCCGCGAGTTGCGCCACGTAATCGGCAACAAGGTCGTTGTGAGCTGCATCTACATCGGAGGAACCGTTGGCGGTAACTGTGCAATCTTCGCAATTGTTGGCACAAGATATTACGCTCGAAGCTTCGTCCTTTGTCCCCAGAAGTTTGGCAAGGTTGTTCTGTGAGCCCCTGTGCCTTTTTACGTGGGCGAGAATCTCACTTCGCTCTTTTTTGAGAGCCTTTGAGTCCGAGGATTGCGGAATGTAAGTTACCAGTGGATCAACAGCCTGGTAGGCACCAGGGAGAACCCCCAAAGATGTAAGGTCCGGCGAAGACCCTTCGTGTTTAGTTGTCGAGTCCGTAAAGATCTGTGGCTCCATTGTCGCGCTGAATGGCTCAATGACCACCCAGCCTCCCTTGACATGTATGATTTGCAACAAAGACCAGTCGACGTTCCGGGACTGTCTTCCAGGTTTGGGTTCAGGGCCTCTGATAATACGAGGCTCGGACGGCCGACGTTGATTACGCCTGGCTTGGCCATGCAAGTCGTCAAATATACCCGTGAAATCGCGTTCGAAACTAACAGGTGTCAAGGAAATGGGTCGCAACTCATCGCAGCCTTTGTCATCCACTCCTGTCTGAGACTCTTCGCCTGTCAGTGGAATTTCGTTGCGAAGGGAATAATTTCTGCTGCCAGTATCGGCTTGATGCGTTTCGAAACCTTGCCCAATAGCTTCTCTGTCCCCTTCATGGCGTGACAATCTGTCATCTAGTCCGTGGACATAGAAGTGACCGAATTGCCACTAGCGCTTGGGCCGTTCTAATTTAGCACTCCCAAAATGATCTCCAGTCCAGAGCGATCCTTGAAATGCTTCGTCACAGGTACTTTTAGGAGACTGTGCCACACGCGTATGCCCCTCGTTGTCTTGCGCAAGGTCTTCACTCGAAGAAGCCAGGCCGGGCAACGGAAAACTCCTCTGCTGACTCGACTCTCTTGAACTGAAGTGGACGAAGTATCCAGAGTCATTGTTGATGTTACCTTGTCTGGTAAGTCCAGGCCTTCAGAGCTTTGAGGGGGAGTTCGTGATGCTTCCGGATAGTCGATTCCAGATTTCTCGTCGCTGACAGGAGACCGCCCATGGTAAGACTTTTCTACAGCTTGTATACCTTGGGTGGTTGTCTGATATTCTTGGGTGTGCTGAGGCTGGTTTGGGACAGTTCTCGGACTTTGATACCTGGACTGCTGGCGTGTGGAATGGGCTAGTTTCGTCCGACGAGTGTTTCATCCTGGGGCTCTCGAGCCATGCGTCTTCGACCACAGCCTGGAGATACAGGACGCTCAGATTCTTTAATGCTCTCGGTACTCGAAAGTCGATCGTGGCGAAGGAGGTTTCCGACCTGGCGAATATGTTGAGCAAGCGTCTGCCGGAAACCTGATTGCCGTGTAACCCCCGACACTGTTGTTAAGGGGACAATTTGGGGCTCAGGTTGCCTTTCCCACCCTGTTCGATCTTGATTAACAAAGTCCTGAAACACGAATCAATTAAAAAATCGAGAGATATGGAGAATGACTGTAAAAGAGCCCAACCTTCTGGTTACTGAGACTTGACCATCGTGAGTGTCTTCTTTCTGTGTCGGCATGCTGTGTCGTAGATGTCCGACTGATGCGGCGACGGTCTGCACCTACTGGAAGATTCCTGTTAGATGCTCTTGTGAATTTCGGGTCTTCCCCTGTTGACCTTCTTCTGCTGTTTTGCATCTGTTGCGGTGCGCGAGTCGTTGACACATACCCAACTCTGCGGCTAGGATGGACATGTTTCGCTGATTCCAACAACATATCCCATCGCACCACGTAAGGTCTATTCACAGCCTTTTGACGAAACGAGGCGCTGCTTAGTCTGGCGTACTGCCTTGGCACGTCACCGTATTGTTCGGGAGGCGGACAACGATCCTTATGATCGTGTCTAATGTGATTGACATTTTCGACAACCTTCCGCATGTAGCAATGTAAAGCCCAATCAATCCCTTCTGTATCGTTGCCGAATGGACAAAGCGCAACGTCTTGCCTTTTTTTTTGCGTGTCGATGTTATGCTCTTCGGCAGGATGTCCACCATTGCCTGTTCTGCGTGCTTCAGGGAGGTCGTGCAGCGCCAGAAAAACGCAGGAGTTCATCCTTTTGCGAGATCACAAATACTAGGTATTCAGCGTGAGATGAACGGAGGTGGAGGACTCTGTTTCTTGACCAATAATTGTTGCGACTAGTAGGTAGGACGAGGGATAATCAGAATGTCGAAGTGGTTGTTTCTCATGACTGACGACCTCCTAATCATACCTACCAGGTAAGAAAGATGCCATTCGAAGCGCAAGGAATCGTGCTTTGTCAGAGACGAAGAACCGAAACATATGCGCAGCATCGTCTTGAGAGCAGGTGATTCCAACTATAATGGGAATTAACTAGGTAATTCTGGAAGGCACCATGGGTAGTACATGTCCGGATCATGATTGGGCGGGGCTTGTCGTCAAATCAAAGAACAAGTACTGTCGTGGAGCAAGTTTACTGTTAGTCGAGGGTAGGGCTTCTACAGAGAGTTTGTTTGAAAATACAAGAAGTCGGTCTAGGCCAGCCGGTCACGGATAGAGACCCTTCACAGATCCAAAGTCCTGCGAACGTTTACACGATGTGAGGCAGGTATGATGTTAATGAAGTCTTGTAAGGTGGTACCTTACCAAGATTCGAGGTCCGATAAGGTCCGATAACGGACTACTATGTCATCACCATGCCTCGGTGCCTCGGATGCTGTCTTGCGGCTAACGGCGGGGCAATGATTCGGACATTCCCCCAAGCATTGACCTGACGGCGAGCTCGACATTCAACATCCCGAACACGTCTCCAGCAAGAAATTGAACCGATACTCCACAGCAATTGAAGAAGCCCATCATGATGCGATCCATGCTACCGAGGCTCGTGAGGCCGTCCCTGGCCAAGGCCCCAACCGCAGTTACAGTCACAATTGGCAATAGGTTTGCCTCCTCTTCCACCGCGCCGGTCTTCGATTGGCAAGATCCCCTCGCATCTAAAACGCTGTTGACTGAGGAGGAACTGGCAATTTCAGAAACTGCGGAGCGATATTGCCAGGAGCAGTTGCTACCTCGTGTGCTTCGTACGTACAGTTCTGAGGTGCTGCGCAACGCATACACTAACAACATCACACAGAGGCATATCGCGACGAGAACTATGACACAAAGATCCTCGAAGAGATGGGCGAGCTTGGCCTGCTAGGTGCCACAATCGAAGGGTATGGTTGTGCAGGCGTGTCGACTGTGGCCGGGGGCCTAATCACACGCGCAGTCGAACGCGTCGACAGCGGATACCGGTCAGGCATGTCTATCCAGTCGTCACTAGTCATGGGAGGCATCAACGAATTTGGGAGTCAAGAGCAAAAAGAAAAGTTCTTGCCTCAAATGGCGAAAGGAAAATCATTGGGCGCTTTTGGCTTGACGGAGCCCAACCACGGCAGTGATCCCGGATCCATGGAGACTGTTGCGAGACCACATCCATCTAAGAAGGGATATTATTCTTTATCGGGCGCCAAGACGTGGATTACCAACTCTCCCGTTGCCGACGTACTCTTGGTATGGGCCAAGCTGCAGGAGACAGGGAAAATCCGAGGGTTTCTGGTTGAAAGATCTAAGTGCCCAGCCGGCACTCTGGAAACGCCACCTATTAAGGACAAGAACGGGCTCCGAGCTTCGATCACAGGCATGATTCAACTAGAAGAATGTCCGGTTCCTCACGAGAATATGTTTCCAGAAGTTGAAGGTCTTCGAGGGCCATTCTCATGCCTCAACAGTGCCCGGTACGGCATTGCTCTTGGCGTTATGGGCGCTTTGGAAGACTGCATCGCGAGAGCAAGGACGTATGCGCTCGAGAGGAAACAGTTCAAGGGAAATCCCCTAGCCCGCTATCAACTCGTCCAGAAGAAGCTGGCTGACGCCAGTACTGACGCTGCTTATGGCACGCTGGCCGCCATTCAAGTCGGCAGACTGAAGGATGAGGGCAAAGCCACGCCTGACATGATTAGCATGGTGAAGCGCCAGAACTGCGACCGGGCCCTCCAGAACGCCCGCGTGCTTCAAGAGATCTTCGGAGGCAACGCCGTTAGCGACGAGTATGCTATCGGCCGACATGTGGCGAATTTGTTCGTAACGCAGACTTACGAGGGCCAGAGCGACATACACAGTAAGTGATCGGCAGATACTCGGCCTATGCCTTGCAATGTGTGCTGACGGTGACTTTGCTAGGTTTGATCCTAGGGCGGGCCATTACGGGGGTGCAGGCGTTTGTATAAGTCGGAGGTGTTTATTGAGGCCTGTAGGGGACTCCTTGTGTTGCCTCAGTAAGCGATGGAGGCAACGAAGACAAGGTTTACCTCGAGCCCCATTATCAGGTGCATGGTGCGAGAAAGTATGAGGAGCCACATGTGACTTGAAAGGGAGCACAAGATCAGGTACATCTCTGGAGTGCCCACCCAAAGCCGACTTGGCGCGAGTGTTGGGCAGTCAGGTCTCTCATCGAACGTTGTTGTGCTGAGGCCTCAAACCTGAAAAGTCGACTGCGATCTTGGGGCTACCTAGATACAAATCTTATGTTAGGCACCTTCATGAGAAACAATGTACTCCATGTTCCGACGAAAGACGTTGATGATCAGCAGTAACGCGAAGGCGTTGTTGAAAGCGATACAATGGAGGAGAAGGCTCGAGAAACAAGTGGCTTAGCTAGGATTCATCAGCCATAAAACATTATCAACATGACTATGAAAATTGGAGAGGATCAGTTAAGGCGTGTGACTCACGTGACGAATCTTCCATCTTATGTGGCGGTGCCCCTCATTTCTATGGACAGGCCGGCCATCCCGGTCCCTGCCTAAAATCCTGACGGCAAGAGGACGATTTGGGTTCCTTCAGTGCTGGGGCAGTGGCTTGGGAGTGGTGACAGGCAAGAGTCAGGTGCGGGTGCAGTTGCCCCTCCCTCACTCATTGCCCGCTGAGAGGCTGGCTGGCTGCCTTGCTTGCCATCCGTCACCTTCCCTCTTCTTCCCCCTCCACCACACATCCAACACTTCCACTCCTCCAACAGTCACGTTCTTCTTGCATCACGCCCACGTCTCGCCCCTTCGAGCAACGCTTTGGTAATTCTGTTACTGGATCACAATATCATTCTTGCGACGACGCAGAAGACGATAAATACCCCTCGTCTCCTGTACGTGCCCTTCTTACGGCCTTCGACCCCCGCACCCGCCCTTTGTCCCGCACCACTGCACCG